GAAGGTATATCTCAAGTATTCTGACTGTTCGCGTAGAGAATCAAAACTAGAACGAAGAAAAAGGGTATGCGATTGCAGTTTGTCTTGGTCCCCTAATTTTTATCTAACATCCCCTATCTTATCTAAACACTTCACGCGTTCCCGAAATCTCTTCTGCGCATAGTTTAAAGATATATCTATTTCTCCTGAGAGATTAATTTTTGCATATTCCATACGTTAAGACGTATCCTATTTTCAACAATTTATTACATCACTTTGCACCCAAAAAGTTGCAGTAATTTTAAATAATTTCCTATCATCGTGTCTGTCCAAAGATTCCTTGCCAAGGGTAGAATAATTGCAATTACTTCCGGATCTATAAAATTTCGCAAAGGTGTAGGAAACGCAACTGCTGTCATGGCAACCGATATTCGCGAGAGATCAAAGGGGTTGGGAAGAACAGACGTTTAATCCCACGGGCAAATAAAAGTTTCGATAACGCAAGACGATCGACAGGATATTCGAAACTCGTTCCCCTACATTGTTGCTAATAAATCTGCTCATTTGACAAGCGTCCTGTCCTGTCCTCCATTCTCTCCGCAACCCCGAATGCTGGACGTCAAACAAGCGTCTGCTTCGGATCGCTGTGAAATGAACGCCGCGTTTTTTCCCAGCCGGTCCCTTATTTACCCTGTCACGTTATTACAACAAAATCGATCGGGCCCGAAGCCGTTTAAAACGCACCGAAAATATCATCAGGGGTAGTGGATGAAAGCAACCGGCCAAATATTTGCCGATCGTTGGTGATTAAAAAACCTCCCGTTCAACTGAGCGGGAAAAGTAGAATCATGGTGTGCGCGGGAATGGCGAGGATTCGCGGATCTCGCGTTCGAAATGTGGAGTGAAAAGGCGCGGATAATTATTGCCGTGCGTTTCAATCGAATTAATCCACGCTGGAATGTCGTTCCAGCGATTAACCTGAATTTTTAGGCATTATCGAAATAAGTTACATTCGCTGTTTGCACGAGAAATTTACTCGTTTCGCGGAAAATTATAGTAACGCGGGATTATTGTTGATACTTGTACGCACGGTGTTATACTAATTCAGGATTTCAAGCTTTTTCCCGTTCGTGGACTTCTTGTTCGAGTTCTATTATGTCACCCATGTAAGAGTATGTAAGAGTATGCGAGTTCTGGTTAATACGATAAGGTGACACGAGTGATGAGCACGTAGCAGTGATAACCGGAGTCTCAAAACGAAGCTGCGATTCGCTTGATCCATGCGGCGGATTAACAAAGAATGTCAAACTTTAAAAGAGCAACTCGAGGGGTTGATCATGGAGTTTTACATGAGAGATGAGAGTGACGAAAGTATATTGTATCCAATGGAATAAAGTACAATCGGCCACTGAGTGATAGACTCATTTTAACCCAACCCTCTTTTCTCCTCCCCTTACACCCACAAGTTTGAATTTATGGTAAATACACGTGTAACTCCATTGTCTTCAACTTTCTTAAATTCTATTGCCAAAATGCTTGATCGATATGGAATCCTTCCTAGTTGAGATAAACTTTTACTCCTTGTTTCGTGGAATTAAACAATTTTACAAATGACCAGCTCATTTGTATCGTACCTTCTAAGAAACTCTATTCTGAGTATAAAGAACGCGAGAAAATTATTCCTCGCGCATACTCGTCAAACTATAATTTCTTTAGTTACCAAAGACATCTGCCGAGGAGCTAGCAAAACGTTTTCCCAAGAATTTGAAATGTCGACGTATCTAGTACAAATAATTACCAAACGCAGCGCGATCCTAGCGTCAAGAATTCTGGAAAATTTCCGAATTTTTGCCAAATTCACCACGGAGCGCAACAAGCTACAGGGAAAATTTGAAACAAAGACGAAACCGCGGAATCTGTCGTTTCTATCCGCGCGTCTCGTCACGCGGCACTAACGAGAGCGATTGGGAAAAAGCGAGCAAAGCGAAAACGCGACGAGGAAAAACGAGATTCGCGGATGAGAAAAAAAGAAAAAGAGCGAGCCTGTCTGAAATCGATACAGCACGGTTCGACGGCGCGAACTGCGAGTCGGACTCGATTATCCAGAACTGCACCTGGACAGGTGTTCTGGAACCCCTTGCGCTCCGTATAAAAGGCCGCGGGCGAGATGAGGTTTGCGGCCGTGCGATGGCCCGCGGCTGCCTCTCGGAACCGGTCCTCCGAGGACGTTTATACGATCCTCGGGATCGTCCCCGGGTCTGCCAAGGCCCCGTGATTCCGCGCGATACCGTGTGAAAGACCTCCTTTCGTTCCAACGTTCCAGATTTCCACCCGATCACGCGTCCCCCCTTGCACGCTGTCCACGCCGCGTCCGCCATTTTTACAGCAGCGAGAAAATCACTCACGGTCCTCGCGATAGGCTCCAGATCGTATTTCGCGGATTTTTCCGCGTCCATTTTTCCCCTTCTCGCGTAACAAACGCGCAAAACCTCGCTGTTTCCTACTTTTCCTTCCTTTTTCCCTCCCGTTTCCCGGCCACCGATAGGGGGTAGTTTTTCGAGCCTGTCGAAACGTTTGTTCGCTGGTGATCGAGTTCACGGGGCTTATCCGTGCCGCTGGCTAATAATTTCACACGGTGAGGTGTGCTTCTATATCGATCGTACCAGTCTGACGAACACGAAACCGCGAACGGAGGTATTGGCAGATATCGAATAGTAAATGGACTTTTAATCCGGCGCTAAGGGTGATACTTTAATGCAGATGGACCTGATTTCCGACACCCGCGACGATGATGATCAACGAGAATGAATTAGACGGGTTTTGGCAAATTCGAATTAAATTTGAAGGTGGAGGACGAAAGGTTCTTTGGGTGAAAAGGGCACTACGTTTTCTTAGCGAGACTTTATTATATGCGGGGGACCAGATGCGGAACACGGAAGGCTTTTAGGGAAGGACCCGTGTCGTTGAAGAGTCGTACGCGAACTGAACTCTTTATCGGGGGACCAGATGCGGAACACGGAAGGCTTTTAGGGAAGGACCCGTGTCGTTGAAGAGTCGTATGCGAACTGAACTTTTTCGCTGTTCGTTAGACGTCGAGGTGGTCCGCGAGTCATGGTCGTAAAGATATAAACCAGGCCCCCATTGAACCGGAACCCTCGATGTCGCGAAGGAGTCGAAAATATATACAAGGAACCTTCGCTTTCCGCATCTGAGATGTGTCCCTACAAATTCTCTTCCTTCTCTGTCACTCTTACATCGTTACACCGCAGGTCTTCTACCCGAGTTGTTTTCCAAAGTTGCGTCGACGGCGTCGGATTTTATAACGACGTCAGCCGGGTCACGAGATAATAGCGTTGTCGGAAAAACTTTAATTAAACGTAACCGGCGGTTTATGCGGCGATTTAAAAATTCAGACGCTGCCAACGCGCTGACGGAACGGTGAAAAATTCGCTACGTCTCCTCTGCTCGACCAACTGTCGCGTAACAATTTTAATATCCCGCGACCGAGGCATACGTCGGGTCTAATCGAGTAATCCGCATCAAGTTCGGTGAAAGAAGGGAGAAAGAAACTTGGGAAAAGGAGTCCGCGAATGTCGCGAAACTTCATTTAAATCTCCATCAAAAGCAACGCGATGACAATAAAGAGGCAGACGCGATAGTACAAACGGCAAATAAATAAGAGAAGATTGGCAAACGTTTCAGAGACCAACCCACTCTCGCAGGCAAACGAACTTATGGGAATAACGAAGTTCGAGGAGACGAATTTCGAGATGATTCCGCGAAGAGGAAGAGTAGAAGGGGATCAAACGACGAAGGAATACGACGCACGTCCGCCTCATTATGCGCGACGTCGACATTGACGGGTTCGCGATTTCCCAGCGATTCTTCCAGCACCCGTACAAGCTCTCAAAATATTTACCTGTGGTAAATAATTCTACCTCGATTCTACGCTCGACACGGAGATATCGAATCGAATAACGTAATCGGTTCGATCGTAGTAAATATCGAAAATATTTTACTTCTCCATAGCAAACGTTTCTCTACCCTAATCGTGTAAACTAAAATCACTAAACGTTTCCTTTTATTTTTTTCTTCGGTAGAATTCGTAATTTCGGTAATAAATTTTTGTCAATTTTATTCTAGACTGTTATTTACGAACAAATAAATAAATAGTTAAGATCTCGATAATAATTTTGACGAGTACTTTTAAAATTTAGGTGTATTATATTGAAAGCTTCGGGGTGAAATTATCAACGAGGAATCCGAATAACTGAAGGGTTAAAATAGCGGAGGATCGTTTATTTTTTTCGGTGTATATTTTTCATTTCAGGGTCGTCGATTTAATTGGGTGTTGCGGCTTTTGGAGGAGCTCGGCTAGATTGGAGGGCGCGGTGGGGGTAGACTGCTTAGCGACCTTGAACAGTCGATTGATTTCGAACAGGCTATACCACACGCGAGGAGTTGCTTCTTTAATTAAGGCTCGTTGCGAGTGCAACTCAATTGGTTTGAAGCGCGGGCGGCTTGTTTGAAGACCAAAGTGCTATTCCGTGCTTCGAGTGCGGTGCAACGATACGACTTTAATTAAGAAAATTGTTCGCTTTCGAATTGCGTGTTCGTCATGCTCCATCGCATAAGGAAAATCTCTCCCCTGGAAAATATCCACCTCCCTCTAACTTTATTTATACCGTGAAATTAATCGTGCAACTTCAAACTCGATAAATAAAATTATCGCAAAATAAAATTTATTTTAATGTCGCGCGAATATTATTTTATATATTAACGCGCGTCGTGTCTAGGAATTTAATTGAGCAAATCGCATTCGGAGGTTTAACGACGGATCAAAGGGTTCGTTGAATTCTATAATTTTATAATTTTTCTCTCCGGAGCGAGCAGCAGAATCGAACGAAATCATTGTTAGAAGATAACTCTCGTTTTTTCCTTCATTTTTGCGGCCAGCGAGATAAGGATGATTTAGACGGCGCGGTAGAAACGGGAATAAGGAATGCAAAAGTGGAATTTACCTGTATATCGGCGCGTCTGCCTCCTCCTTGTACCAAATAACTAGATGCAGCTTGTCCCCAGGGACCGGCGGTTCCACGTCGCATGGTAACTGAGCAATTCCACCTGCCACTGCCTCCGCATCTATCATTGTCACTGTAATGACAAAGACGGGCAGAGAGTCAGGTACATCATATGACGAGGCGGTAGCGTGACTGGAGCTTAGCGTGGAAAATTATCGATGGCAACCCGATCGATGCAAAATAATATTTTTCTTCCGTTTTATTTCCTTCTTTGACAGAAAAGATGGATAATTGCAGAGAAAAAACAGGGCTAGAGAAATTACTCTGATCACGATTTGTATCGTGTTTCTTCATACTTTTAAACAGTGGAAGAAATATTATATCTGTAGAACTCCTTTGTCGGCTTTGGACAATCAATTTTATTCGTACCCCTAAATATATCTTCCAAATTATCTACGCCAATTTCGTAATTGAAAAAATTGCCACACTTTAATACCAATCTTTCCTTTATCATTATAACTACCCTGTTACTACGCGTCAAATTATTTCCAAATTAAAGAAACGAAATAATCGCAGCAGGTATATTACCCACCAATTATCCCATTTGTCAGAACCCTCACGAGTTCCAATTACCTTCTCCAGCCTCCAGAATATCGCACGGTAGTGTGCCCCCTAAGATTTTTCCACAGAAGACCACCCAATATTCTCCACGGCGAACTAATCCGTTCCCCTAATTAACCCCCGTGAATTTACATTTTTTCCTACAACATTAGCCAATTCCGCAACGAATGAAATATCTCTGTGAAAAATACACGCAATTAAGCTCCGAATGGTAAAAGTAAAATTCAGAATTGCTCGGAATACTCGAATCTAAAATGACGAATTAAAATAATCGTGGAATAAAACTGCAAGGGGATGATACACCGCACGAAAATGATAAAATATTCGACGTTAATTCGAGTTAACGATACATATCACACGCACCCATCTAAATAAAGCATTAAATCAGAGTTACAAACTCGGACAGTCTGTTTCCACGTCACAAACCACCGTTGCATCGCTTAAAACGAGCGAGTAAACCCTTCTTATCCGTATCTCGGGCAGAAGTCGAGGGATCCAACCCTTCCGGACACCATCGACTCGATCTTCGAGTAAATCACCCCTGTCGCGTCGAATATTAATCACGTTCATACAGCGGGACGAGTCGATTCGTATGACCGATGGTACGGTTTGCCTCGTTACAGGGCACGAGTGAAAAGTAACGGAGAGGAAAAGGAAGAAAGCGTAATTAGGGACATTAATCAAATGTAATTGTGGCAATTAACCGGGCCGCTGCAAAGCCTCTCGGTCTCCCTATACCGGCGTGTGGCGAATGCATAATTTTCCTTAATAATTAGACTACGGACAAATAGAGGCTAAGTGTAACGCAACACCGGCCAAGATACTCCGTTAATGACAATTAGGCTGTCTATATTTTTACCCGGCGCCGGGACTGCCTCACGAGCTACACCCTCACCCTTGTCCCTCGCCCAAACGCTCGCCAAGATGCGGAGGGCGGTTTATGGTTGGGACAAAGAGGAGAAACCTTGCAGAGAATTTTCGAGGTAAATTTGGATTGGGTTAATTCGTTCACCTATTCGTCGAGCAATTTTGTTTCTTACTTTCATTTTTAATTATTTATTTATTTTTCAATGGAGATAAAGATTCGTATATTTGTTGGATTTTTAACCTGTCTTAGGGTTGATGAAATAAAAATTTTTGGGTACCAAAGTATTTTCGCTGTAGGGTAGTAGCACCCCGATTTTTGGATATAGAGACAAGGCTGTATTTTAGAATATGGAAAAGATCAAAGGGTAGTTTTATTTAAATATTTCGTCTGTCATTGTACGATGGTTATTATCGTCTCCCGTTCGCGATATTACAACTGGCGACTAATCGTGAGTAGATTACACCCTTTTGTTCGTTCAATTTTCAATTGCGATTCTTCTTACCCAAACTTCATCCGTGTTTAAATTATACATATCACGCTAATGAAATTCTCGTTATAATAAATTTAATAACTGTATACTTTACAACTCGCGAAGCAATGGATTTTTATCAGCACGAATACATCATGCACGTTATGATACGCAAGTTTCACCCTAAAATTCGAGATACTCATCGGCCACGAAATTTTAGTAGCCACGTCGAATCACCGTAAATCAACCCTACGGTAATCGTACTTCAATTTCATACCCTCGATAATTCATTGCACGTTTAACGTTCACCCTTATAAATAGTACGACGAGAACATAGCTTTTCCAAACGCGTTTGTTAGATTGATTAAAATATCGGAGAGAAAAATTCGAAACGTTCTACCAGTGGCTCGATTAACGCAGATATTCGGCCATCAAGCACGAGACACCTTCTGCCCTCTATTTCGTCCGAAAAACCACCATTGTTCTTCTCAGTTGCAATTTGAAAATTACGCGTAATTTCGAGCGATATTTTCTACCGTGACGGATAAACTCGTCCGACGTTATTTAACGTGTTTTTCAATACCAAGAAAATAAGGACCGAGCCGTGAAAAATTGCCATTCGTCGCTCGTGTGTCAGGGATAACGTTTTCTTTTTTTTCCCCGTCCTTTTTTTCGTTTTTTTTTTTTTTTTTTTTTTTTTTTTTTTTTTTTCTGTCGAGGGAGAGCACGAGGCGTATCCAAAACACGATAACAAACCCGATATCGCGCATCCAGCGCTGAATATTGAAACGTGTCAATGGCACGTCAAATACCACCAAATTGACTATTTATGAGGCCAAAGGGAGGAAATTTCGTTTCCTGGCTTTTTCGTCGGAAATTGCATTGCCTTTGTTACCACCAACGCTCGAATTTCAGCAAGACGCAGGTATGAACGCGTGATTCTTATACAATTTTCGAAAACGACGAACTGTGGAATAATACCTGTGTTTATACAACAGAACGTCGAGTGTCACGATTTCGCGAAGTTCTAATTTATCGCTTAATCGGATCGCAAAATTTACGATATACGTATTTGTCGAAAAATAAAGAGGGAAAAGATAAATCTTATGTCATCCCCCAAAAATTATATACATAATTCAACGGAATATTAATAAGAACTGTAAAATATCACGATTTACCCGATGGTCGAGTAAGCTTTACTTTGTCCCACTTTCTGTTGATAAATCTCTCCCGGATAGAGGCGTATTAATTATTTTTAATTAAAATTTTTCAAGGCAAAAATATTCGTTATTGGCTGGCTGTAAATAAGTATGGCAATAAAAATACAAAGATTTGCTCGAATAAATTGCTCAAATACATTTGCATTTTTATTAGCGGAGCTCTGGAGAGATTGCCAAAGGACAGTAAATCCTCTCTTGCTAGCTATATTTACCGTGGGATAATATTTTTTCAAAACTGGAAATCTCCTGCGTGCCTTTAATCCGCTGAATCCCCTCCTTAATTCGCCTTCTTTAATTATCTTCGAAGGAAATTTCGAATTCCTCGGGATAAAACGAAGCTATTCAATTATTTCGGTAATTACTGTATCTCCGTGGATATCTACGATAGGCTTATCTAATTTTAAGTTCCTCATCCTGCCTCTGACAACACTCCGTTCCCAGTCGAGACAGATCTGTCATGGAGCAGCGACAATGACGGATTCTAGGTCAGCGACCGGTGAGGATGGTCGCCTAATCGATGGCCATTATGCGCAATCAACTACTAAATAGAACGCTTCTATACTTAAACGCTTCTATACTTATCGCAGAGATCAGAACGAAAGTCTCGCAAGCCAGGCGTGCTGGAAATAACGTATCATACGAATTATCGATGACATGTCTGCAGTGGAACTTGGTCGTGTCGGACAGAGCGCAACGATGATAATTACTATGTACATCGTGTAAGACGTAATTTGAAATACCTAACTAAGTAGCGAGTAAGCTCTGTCAAGACTTTGTCAAATCGCGAAGGGGCATAGGAGACCCATGGGACTGTTAAAATATAAGGGACCTAAAATATAAGGAAGAGGTAAAGCGTCCTGAAGGACAGTCAATGGCAGAAGTTTAGACCTGGAGGAATTTATAGTCGTGGATTCAACAACGTGGTTAGGTCCTTTTTGATCACTATCGCGTTACGTTCGCTGGATCTTTAAACTTTTAGAGAGGCTCCGTATCTATCTCTAGATCACCATGTATAGAAGGAACCAGTGTTATAAACTGTATTTACAACGGGGAATCTTGGATGGTGAGGATGACTATGTCAGTAATTCCTTCCTAAGAATTTGCATTTACAACAGCTACAAACGATATATAAAAATGAGGGAGGAGGCTACTGTAGTGGTTGCTAACTGCACTGCTACCCTAAATTGAAATAGATTTAGTACCCAATTAAGTTATACAATACTAGATATTTGGAGAACCCCTATCTATACGTAATCCTACCTTCTTGGTAACAAAAGAGTCGGTAGCCCAGCGATCCAATTTGCGTTCACGACCTACCACCATCCACAAATCACTTTCTCGTACAGAAACTTTTGACACACAGACTGAAACCACGACCGAAACTGAGGTCACAGTGGAAGATAAAATTTGTCAAACTGTCCCGTGGAACGGTTCCACTTAAATGACAGGTCACCGCCAACGCGCCTAGGGGAAGCTTCGCAAGGTCATCGAATTAATTCGCATTGGTAACCGTTACGCGTTGGAAGAGGGGTGATTCGCGATGATTTCTATGCGCTGTGAATAACCCGGTAGTCAAGAACGGTTGGCAACGTTAATTAAAACGCAACGGGACCGTGGCTGTCAAGAATGTTCAGCCGCTCGTTGAGTCGTTAACTCGCTTAAGTGCGTTCCTTCTCTTATGAATATGCAAACGCGTTTTAACGCGGCAGCTATTTGCACGCGTGGGCCACGAACGCTAAAACACCGCGCCTCACCTGTCGCCGTTTGCTTTTCGGTCTCGACATGGTTATTAATACGTGGCAATCGATCGTTCGACACGCGTGCGTCTCTGTGGCTGTCGGTCGCAGGAATCTGGAACGAACGATCCTAACAGGGACAGGGTGCAACCGAGCGAAACTGTCTTCTATATACGTGTCGCAGCGAACGACCTCTTGGACAGCTGATAATGATGTTAC